TAGTAAAGCGACCAAAACGCTGGCTTGCATCCATAGATGCTTCTCAAGCAAATCCCGGGACGTCATTCTCCCCCTGTACTCGGCCTTAGTGAGGCCGCAGCTGGAGTACTGTGTCCAGTTTTAGGCTCCACAATTCAAAAAGGATGTGGAGAAGCTTGAGAGAGTCCAGAGAAGAGCCACGCACATGATCAGAGGTCAGGGAAGCAGACCCTACAATGACAGGCTGAGAGCCCTGGGGCTCTTTAGCCTGGAAAAGCGCAGGCTCAGGGGTGATCTGATGGCCACCTACAAGTTTATCAGGGGTGACCACCAGCATCTGGGGGAACGTTTGTTCACCAGAGCGCCCCAAGGGATGACGAGGTCGAACGGTCACAAACTACTTCAAGATCGTTTCAGGCTGGACATAAGGAAGAACTTCTTTACTGTCCGAGCCCCCGAGGTCTGGAACAGCCTGCCACCGGAGGTGGTTCAAGCGCCTTCATTGAACACCTTCAAGATGAAACTGGATGCTTATCTTGCTGGGATCCTATGACCCCAGCTGACTTCCTGCCCTTTGGGCGGGGGGCTGGACTCGATGATCTTCCGAGGTCCCTTCCAGCCCTGATGTCTATGAAATCTATGAAATCTATGAAAACAGTGCATGGCAGACAAAGTCCTTGAAACTTTTAGTAATTGTAACAATTCACCAGCTATTCAAAAGAAAATAGCAGTAGATTTTGTTGCTTCTGAAACATCTGTGATGGCAAGACATGTGAATCAAGATTTATTTTCAGTTTCAGCCATTTCAGAAAGAATCTTTTCATTGTCCATCCCTGGCAGAGGTTGGTTTGTTTTTAAAAGAAACCACAACCCTGCAATTTTTAAAGTCTTTATACATCATAAAGGCAGAATGAAATGAAAATAGGCATAATATTATCTTTAGCCTTTCTAGTGCAGGAAACTTTTATCATCCATAAACTGGAAAAATATAAGAGGTAGTACTCATCCAGACGCCACTTACTACCTATGTTCTTTCCTTCCACACTACCAAAATAAGCCACTTAAGAGTAGATCACAGATTCTCAACCTTTTAAAACTCGAGGCACCCCTCTGTAGCCTTTTGGAATTTACTGTCAACCCTTTAAAGGTATGTCGTACACTGCTTACCTTTTGGTAACCTGTGATACACTTAACAAGATCTCATGGGATGGTAGGGTGAGCAGCAGGCAGGGCAGAGCACCCCGGAGAGCATGGCAGGATGGGGGATGGTACTGATACTGGCAAAGGCTGCTCAGCTGGGCACTGTGGAGCTTGAGGGTCATTGTGGGTCATTAGCCCCCTGAAGGAGGGAGAAGGAGGTGACAGTGTATGCCCGGTGCTGAGGCTGGTGTCAATTGTTGGGGGGGGCGGGGAGGGGCAGGATCCTGCTGTGCCCTGCTCTTTCCACTGTCTGCCCCCTTCCTGCCCCGGTTGCTCCTCTGAGGACTTGGCTGCCAGTGATTGGAGCCACCCTTTTCTGTAGCCCCTCCCAACACTTCCAGGAACACAGGAGCAATATTGAAACAAAGCAGGCTGAAAAAACCTGGCCCCATGTCTGCCTGCCCACCTGCAGCATGGTATGCTACTCAGAGCAGTGGCAGCTACTGGCAGGGCAGGGGCTACGCTTTTCAGCCTGGCTTGTTCCCCCACTCCTGCCATGCTTCTTGAGTGGGGGGAGGGGGCTGTGGGAAATAGTGTGCCAGGGAGGCCGCTTGTCAGTGGGATACTGGGGCAGACACAAGGTGCCTGGTGTGTAGAGCAGCCAGTGCTCACTTCCTTTCACAGGGGCCAAGTGCTGCAGCATCCTTCAAAGCTGGGCTGTCCAACTTCTAGGCGACCAGAGGGTTGCACCCCATACAAGCCACATCAGTGAGGGTTGTGTGCCATGCCTGCCACAATAGTGTGGGCTGCAAGCAACCTCCTCCCCTACTGCACTGCACATACAGGTCCCTCCCCCTCCCCCCTCACTGGTGCACCACACTTGGGTCCCCCACTGCAGCACTACACCGTGTATATGGATGGGTGACCCCAGCCCGCACAGCTCACTGCATCGCAACCTCTTCCATCACCACCCCATGAACAGGCACAGAAAGTGGAAGCCTGGAGAAGACAGCTGCTGCTACAACTGGAGTGATAGCGGGGATTAGCAGCCAAGTGGCAGCCATGGGGCTGCAGATTAACTCCTTGTGGGGCTGCATACAGCCCTGCTTCAGAGGACCTCACATTGAGAATCACTGACGTAGACTGATGTTGACTATACATATATTTATAACCTGTGCAAACTTAATTTCACTAGCTTGATTCCAGCAATGATGTTTCAACTGTCAGTGTATGGCTGGAGAGTAGAGGGCAATCTAATAGGTGGTGTTTTATAGGTTTACAATAGAACTTAGACAGGAAGGACAGACAAGGGATACATTGTTTTTGGGTTAGTGGGAGTTGTCACTTGTTTCAAAAACCTTTAGGCCAGGGGTGGACAAGGGCAGGGAAGGAGACCCGGGAAAAGTGGCCCGGGGAAAAGCTGAGTGCAGGGGTGGGGAAGCGGCCCTTCCCCTGCCCCATGGCCGGTGCCCTGCACTGCAGCCATTTGCAGCCTGTGTGGGGCTGCCTGTGCCTGCTCCGGACAGCCCCGCATGGACTGCAAGCGGCTGCAAGAGGGAACGCCGGCCCTGGGGTGGGGGAGGGGCCACTTTTCACTGCACTCAGCACCAGTTTCTTCCCTGCTGATGAGCAGGGGGTTGGGGCTGTACACGGTCTCCTGCCTGTACCACGGGGCTGGGAGGCACTGGGAGTGAGTGGGCGGGGAGCCAGCAGAAGCACGGGGCCCACATCAGTGTCCCAGGGCCAGTGCCAGCGGGGCCCAGAGCAGGGTGGCAGGAGTGCAGGGTCCCAGCCAGCAGGGGCTCTATGGAGCCAGGCCAGCTCCCCCCTCTCCCTGCTGGTGCAGCCCAGCCCAGCTCCACAGACTCCTGCCAGCCTGTGCCACACTTGGGGCCCCACTGGTGCTGGCCCTAGGACATAGGACCAATGTCCCAATGTCTTGGGACCAAAGACATTGGAACATTGGTCCCAAGATGGTGACCGGGGGCAGGGCACCTGTCAAGGGGCAAGGCTACCCGTGCGGCCCTTGACAGGTTGCCAAAACTGGGTAAGCGGCCCTCCGCCTGAAATAATTGACCACCCTGCTTTAAGCATTCATTAAATATTTTCCTTTGGAATTGCCTGTCCTCCATTCACATTCGCCTCTTGTAGTGGTAAAAGTCCAGTGTAATTTCACTATCCTCCTGCCTAAATCTGTCTCGTCTCTCAGCAGTCTGTTTTCTCTCTCTACATGGAGAGAGCCCCTATTCAAAACTCTGTATACAACCAAGAATAATTCTCTCTTGGCCTTTTTCTTCCTTGATCAGAAGACTGACCACCTTTCCAGAACTGTGAATCCAGACTGGCCCATTGTGGTAAAATGTTCTTACCATTCCAGGGGGAAATGGCTTAAAAGTATTTGAGTATGGGCCTGGAATTGAAATAATTTTATAATATTCCTAGATGATTCAAAGGATGGATAGGCCATTACTATGGTTCTTCCATTTCTTGTTTCATTCCAGTGTTTGTTCTAGGGCACTGGTCAACCACAGTAGATATGAAGTCAAAAGTATTAGAGCCACAGCAGTGGAAAGTCACACCAGACCCAGATCAAGCAATATGACCTTTTAGGTAGGTCATATTTAAAGCCACTATCTTTTCATTCCACTATTTGGTTTCTTATAATTAGTTTGTTTTTTAATCATTTTTTGTCTATCAATGCTTTTTTAAGCAGGGTCACTAGAAAAAGCATACTTAACAGTGTTCTAAATGACCTGGACCTGAAAAGTGGTGATGAGACAATGATGATGTGCAGAAAAAGCTCGATCTTTAAAAATGTCAAATTGAAACAAACCTTTACAGTGTGGTTAGCCAAAGCCCTTCTGCAATGGTGTTGAAATAAACATCAATTTATCACCTACTGACTACAGAGACACTGAAAACTATATCCATTTGGCATTTTTATTCTCACCTATGGATTAGCTGTTCCCTTTTGCTTGTATTCTGGTTTTCATTCTTTCTAAAATATGAAGCATTAAGTAACTGTAATTGGCCTGATTAAAAACATACTGGACTTTAACAATAACAATTCAACTCAATTTCAAGCTAAGGGGAATTAGTTTTTTTTTTTTACTTCTTGAAATTAAAATGGAGAACTCCTTCAAGACTCAAATCATCTTGATCTTTCAACAGTCTCATAAGTTCTGGGGACTGTAAAGCCATGGATCCTGATCCTCAGCTGTGCTTTCTTTAAGCTACTTATGCCTTTAATGAATTCTGAGCCTAGCAATTGTGGCAGTCCCAGTGGTTGGAAAAAAAAAATAAAAAAAAAAATCAGATATTGCTGGGAGAAAAATCAAGTGATGTCTGCTACAATGGAGCATGGTATTATCATCATGATGGGGCAAAAAAAAGTGTCTGCTTTCTATAATTAATTGTATGTAGTTATGCCACAGAAACCACCAGCTATGGTCCTCAATACTCTGAGCATTCTTTGTCTCCTCCAAGAGCAATACTTACCTCTGTGAGAAAGTAGATGTGACACTGAGGACTGGGAGAAAAAGTATCTTCAGGGCTTGTCGGCAGAGAGGAGTTATCATGAAGTAAACGAGCATGTGAACTTTCAGCACACTAGCTACTCCACACAACTCTTATGTGGACAAGCCTAGTACACTGCAAGTGCAAGGTAGCTTACACTATGTTGAATTTAAATTTCCTTTTCTGCTATTCAGCTGAAGTGGGAATTCAAGAGAGAAGAGCTGCCACAATCAACATGGGTGGTTCAATTTGCAAGCCAACAAGGGCAAAAGGTTTTTTTAGAAGTTCAAAGAACAGAAGTTAATATAGGAAAGCTAATCAAGAAAGCAAGCAATTTATTCCATTAAATTTTCCTACAGCCTCAATGTTTCAGACAATAACAAATCCAATCAGTACTTTCTTCTGTTCTTTGCTGGCTGATCAGTACTGAAGGGTTTTTGAAATTTTGTTTTGATTACAAATATAGGAGTTTATCTTGGATTTCAAATGTTTAGTGACATGTTTCCTCTCTCTCAGGTCTCACACAGCAGATGCCAGCTCTGTGCCAACTGAGCTTCTGCTGAAAGAATAAATACTGTGGGAGGTCTTGTCTGTTGCGCAAAGTAGTTAATGAAATCCAGCTACAAGAGACAGCAAGTCATCAATACTTATAGAGTCGTTGCAGCTGCAAACCTTGTGTTGCTTAATTTTTTAATAGTTTCTTTGCAATTACTTTGCCTGTTTGAAAATTGGTTCAAATAAGCAAGATCTCAGAAAGCAAAATCTGAAAAAAAAAAAAATCACAGTTAGTTAAACCTTTTAGGCAAGTTAGATCATGTGAATGGCATGTAACAGCTACATCTGGAAAGTAAGTTTTCAGAACAAGTTATAGTTTTCCCGTGCAATATTAAAGCTATCAAATGACCTATTAAAACTTATCAGTAAGGAAGTATTGTCTAAGCAGGACAGAAGACAGGAAGTCTCAGCTGCTGAATTTCAGTGTGGCTTTGTGTAAATTACTCAACTTTCTGCTTTTGTTACTTCATCTGTACATTTAGAATAATACCTATTTTCCAGAGACATTGAAAGACTGAACTGTTTGCACTTTGTACTTTTCAGTGGAAACAGTCAACTTTTCGAAAGATGATGAGCTATTATTAATACTTTAAAAAAAGCTCTTCAGTAATCGTAGCTGAAATAGCAATTAGTAAAATGTCACCTCACCCATTTGACAAATATGTAGCCCTCTAGTGTCAAGCTGCTTGAGGGCAATATTTATTTGAATGATGTAGGGATTGTTAATCTCTGGGTCAAAGTGGTGCTGCCCAGTTGTGGGGGATGGTAAGGTTACCCTGTCTCAGAGGTTACCCTGTCCACACTGGGATACTAAAACAAAAATCTCCAGGTTTCAGCCTGAGCAGCTAATGTCTTAAAATATAGCTTTTTCTTGCTTAAACTAGTGTTTTAAAATGTGAGAACTAAAACATTTTAGAAGGACACCTTTTACTCCATTTGGGTGGATCAGTGGTGAGAAATTTTGACAAGGCCTTTTAGAACGTCCCAAGGTTTTTAGGAAACATGGTTGTGACAAGGTCAGGAATTTATTGGGAGAAAACTGACAGCTCAAGAAAGGAGATATATAATATGTACTTAAACTGAAAGAGTGTCTTTCTCTGTGCTTGAATTATCAGTCAAATGTCAGTGCTTGAATAATTAGTAGTGTAATGAAATGTAATTTCCAGAATTGCAAGGACAGCAAACACAACTGTCCCATTCGCAGGACAAACTGAGCTCTATATGGTGCAATAGGTCAAAGTGTCAAACATGTACCAAAAGATCTGGAATAGGATAAGTGAATGGCCCATGTGTAGACTTAATGTGAGCATGCTGTACCAGGGCTGCAGACTATTATTGGAGCAAAGCTGCAGGTTTTTAGATCTCAGAGAGGGTGAGGTATGTTGGAAATAACTTGAAAGAAATATCAGTCAGTATTCTGATGGCAGGGTCAAGTTAAAAATAATATTTAAAAAGCAAAAAAAACCCAAATGTTCTTCACTGTGTAACTAAACAATACCTGGGATTATTAGAATTGTTTTTTTCTCCTTTTTGTTTTGGATGTAACCATTTATGCTGTTTGCTTATTCCTCTCCCCAATCTCCTCTTGGAAACTGAAAAGGGACTGACTGATCAGTTTCAGTTAATCTCAATTCCAGGTTCTTCTCCCACTGTAGTGTAGCACAGTGCCACAATTTGTCAAGTTGTATGCAATATGCCTAAAATGAGCTTTGATAAAAATCAGTGATCCTTTTCATTAATGTAAGAATTAAATGCCTACTGCTATTGTGTTTAACACTTGAGAGACTTTGCACCATGCATGTGGTTGTTCGTTTTGATGGGGGAAATCAAACAGAGGCTATCATGGAAAATTTCAGAGCAGTCTTGCCAGGCACACACATTTCTGCTCTATTCTGCTGTGGGGAGCTAAAGACCTTTTTCCATTTTATTCCTGCAACAGTACTTTCAGATACTTGATCCTGGTATTAGATGCATCAGCAGGAATTTATGTCTACAGAGAGTCCATCTGAAGTTAACTGAAGCTCTGCATAGATTCAAAAGTATTCCATTAAAGACTGGATTGGATAGCTCTTAGAAAGATTACTTGGATAATGAAGACTTCATCTTGCTTCCACAGATACTAATGCAGACTGTTTCCACTAATTTCAGTGGCAGCAAGATCAAATCTTAAAACAGTGGAATGGGATAAATGAATACTACTTAACTAACACTACCCTCTCCATATATTTTGGGAGATCAACAAATATTTGACTGTACTTCTGTCTCTATAATTTTGGCTATTACAAGGGAATTGTCTTAAAATTAGTTTTATTTCTTAGTTATCCTTGTTAAAACAGCACTTTAGTGCTTGGCTCCAAGTAAGCATCTTATGAAAAGGATGAAGTATATGTATTATAATTTATATTATTTTGCCAAATGTGGCAGGCATTCTGGCTTTTTCTCCCTGTTGCCATTGCAATACACATCTGTGAAGAGTAGCTCTTCTAATTGTGTTCTTTAGTCTTACATGGTGCTTTACAGATATGCTTATCTGAGGCTTGGATGAAGAAGAACCTTATGCTCAGAACACCATAGATTTTTTGAATTTCCATGCATTAGCACAGGGCAGCAGAGGTGTACATAAAAGTGTCCAAATTTGCTAATTTCTCAGATAACAAGAGACACAATGAGTGCCTAAGGACTTTTGATATTCATCTCTGGTATAGGAAACACCTCCAACCTATGTGACATTTACTATATATTGTATTACTTTGCATGAAGAATGGATTTAAGTGCCAAGCCCAAAGCTTGTGCCAGATTAATGATTGATATTTTACAGCTATAAACTGATTTCCAAGTAAAGTCCGTTCATAAACTGTTTTGGTGTAAAACTCAACATTAGTTCAAGGAAATAAATTTTTGATTGACATCTCTGAAACAGTTTGAAGTCTACAGGGATGGATACACAGAAACTTTCTAGACAATGGAAGTGCCTTTGTGTGAAAACAAACAAAACAAAAGCTATTTTAGTTTCCACATAAAATGAAAATGTCTTTCTTTGTTAATCAGTCACTTGTGTTATAATCTCTATTCCTCTACATCTTTACAACCCAAGTCATTATGTGTAAATAATGAACCAATTTTGTCAAAACTCAAGCTGCAGCTGGCAGCTGTTAAATATTATGAGTTACTATTTTGTGACATAGCATCACAAGATTGCAGTGTTGCATTGCCATGTTACTGTGATGATGTAAGTCACTTTATGAGTTAGCTAGAGATGTGGTATAGTTTGGCTGCAATATCTGTTGGTTGAAACTTCCTGGAACCAAGGAACCGGGATGTGTACAGTGTTGTTACTGTATTCTAATCAGGGCAAATATTATGGCCATGCAGTAATACTTCAGAACTATATATATAGTGCCCTTAGTTCCAAGGAAGGGAAAGTGCTTTACAAAGCTGTAAACTAACCTGTAGTGATCTTCATTCTCCAATTCAATGCAGTCATATCTAGGATGGAATGCAGCTTATAATTTATAGCTATAATTCAAACTAGAGGAGGAATGTAAGTATTCTAAACAGAATGCAATCAGAGGACTCTAGGATTAACACTTATACTCGGTGGTATGACTGGGGAAGTTTCCTCATGCACCAGCTTGGAAGGAAGGGGGTGGGGAAAAAAAATCTGCCAATGCAGCTATGTGATTGGACTGCTGGCACAGCAGCAACTGGAAGTTGCTCCTCCCCTGCATAGGGCCCCCCCCCCGCCACATCATTGTGCCTGTTTTTACTCTTGTATCTTGTTATTTTTAATAACTCACAAGTGGTCAGGATCTTGGTTTTACAGTTTTTTCTAAATTGATTGTGATTATTTATTGTATATGAAAATATAAATGAGTGGGGGATTCAATAGACATAATGGTGGTGGGAAAGCTGGCCATAGTCTGGGGGGAGCACAAGGCTCTTTGGGATTCCAAGTTTAAGATGAACACTAACTGGAAGTGATCATGTAGCTTTTAATTTCAAATATTTGTAGTTTTGTAATACCTTAATGAAATCTCTTGAATCCTCTCAGGGTTCAAATTCCATAGTTTGCAATTCAAAGCAATAGAATGAGTGTGCAAACATGGCATCTGAAAATATTTACCCAATTAAAACACTTACTTTTCAGGTGCAGGTGGTGCAAAGCCAACCAAATAAAGCTAAGCAGTAGATGCAAAATCTCCGATTTAACACACACAAGTAATTTGAAAGCAAAGCTCAGAGGGTATATTTTTTAGACATTTAGGATAATTTAAAATCTGAAGTTTTGAAAAGAATGCCTCCTCTCATGTTACCTATAGCAGAACTACTATTATGCCAGATTAATAATCTCCATTTTTGTCTTTGAGCTCCTAGAATAGGAATTTTGGGGGTCTCAAGAAATTACACTTCCCTGCATGGGATAAGAGATAGGAAAGTTAGCACTTATAGTCAGTGTTTGAGTGCTAGTGATAGGTATATTTAAAAACTTTCTTAGCATACATTTAAAAAAAAAAATGTTAATTTTATAGTAGGCAGTTATTTGTCCATAAAACTGCTAAATGCTCAAGTCTTTGATCAAAAATTATATGTGCAACTAAATATTTAGTAACTGATCAAAACACTGAAATATACTGCTTCCTTTCTGTTAAGAAGGGAGCAAGGATGAGGCAATATAAGAGGAATTCCCTCTTAATGCTTCCTGTACAAGTGCTGACCTGCATCAGAATTAAAGCTCTGCCATGCTGATGCAGAAAGGACTCAAAACCCCATGGTCTTGAGTCATCAATCTTCTAACATTAAGTTTCTCTCTCTTTTAAGATTCCCAATAATTCTTTTGTTTCAACAACCAGGGGTCACCATAAATCACCTTTTACTTCTTTATTGTTTTCTTCTCTGCCTCCTTGTCATTGGTCTGGTTTTCCCTGCTACTATGGTAGCTCCTTTCAATTAACAAGACCATATGTAATGCTTAAAATGGAACTAAGGAGTGCTTGTTCTTAAAGCAATTTGTAAGAGGGATTAAAAAAAAAATGCTTTAGAATCCAGTGTCTACTGAAAACTAGAGAGTTGGAAATGGTGAAGCAACAGGACCTGTCATCTTCTCAGACAATGGTGTTTATGAGTAGTAACTGTAATTGGCTGATACAGGGCCACCTTTCGGAGTGTACATCTATATACTAATTAGTATATTGAATTTGATAGTTAAAAGTGATTCCCAGAGACAATCACTTCATTTTCAACACCCGTTTAACCCTGTCCCAGACCCCATGCTTGTGTAACATTCATTCAGCCAAGGAAAGCTAGAAAGGAGTTCCTTTAAGGATCAAGAATGTTGCCTGTAAATTAGCAAATGTAATAATTACTGAATGATAGGAGACACTCCTTCCCTGTTACAGCTGAGCCTGTTGTCTGTGTGGTACTCCCAGCTTCTGATGGTCTGGAAAGGAAAAAGAATCAGACTTGAGAATCAATTTCACAACTTTTTCAGGGCAGGGCAGGGCTTACCATTTGACCAGTTCCATTTGACCCCAGGTATATTGAGATATTTTTACTTCTTTCATTATACAGCCAGAAACTTAATCTATTCCATGGCATCATTGCTGAGAATGTGATATTCCTATATGGCATGTTGCCTAAACATTTTAAAACACTTCACATGAGGCCTTGCAGAACACTTGGGTCAGGATTTATACCAACATGTTATTGAGAGGTTAACAGAGATTAAATGACTTGACCAAAGTCATACAGTGAGTCAATAGCAGACCTGGGAGCAGTTCCTCAGTCCTGTGCTTTAAGTACTCAGAAGTGCATTCTCATCTTAGGAGCTACTAAGAGACGGTAACGTGGCGATCTCTAGGGAAAAAACAAAACAAATAACCCCAAGATCCCTGGGCCTAGATGTTCTTTACCACTCCCATCTTATGTGGCTGATCCCCCGCACCCAGATTCCTCAAGCCAAGTCTGAATAATGGTGTACACACACCTTCTTACACCACCTGACATTTTTCCCTTTTCCACACCCATTCCTTAAAGAAAAAAAGTCCTGTCACCTACTGTTGTTCCCCTTCAATTAGAGCTGGGCCTGGGTCAGAACTTACTAACTGTTGTCAAAGATAAGTCTACATTCACTCAGCTTCCTCTTTCTCCCCAGGAGCTTCTGCAGGCTAGTTCTACAAGAAGGAGAACTGGCGATTTCTGAAAGGCCAGGAGCCAATTCTTACTGGACAGAGAAGCAGCAATGGTGCCTCTCTACAAAACAATGGGCTTTCTAGTTTACATACTCCAGGCTAAAGAGTGCTCAAAGTGTTTATCCAATCAGTGCAGATGAGGGTGGGTCAGTTGGCAAGATCACTTGTAGGCTTTTTTTTTTTTTTTTTAAAAAAAACAAGGTTGATAAAAATTGTAGCAAAAAAAAACAAAAACACCCCCCCCCCCAAAAAACCCACACACACACTGCAACAGAGTTCATAACAAGCAAGTTTGTGTCCAACACAGTAGCAGTTTATCTAAATAATGCATACTTAGTGAATTCCATGCAAAGCTTTGCTCTTTTTGGATAAGTTAGTTTCAGTTTGTCACCCCCGGCAGCAACATGGGGGAGGAAAAAAAGGGTTTGCTTCATTGATACTTTTGTCCAGGGGCAGCCAAAATGGTGTCATCCCCCTACGGCTATGCCAAATTCTGACTTTCCAAGAATTGGGCCCTAATTTTTATGAAGAGCTCATCATCCACATTCAGAGCTAGGTTTTCAAATGAGCTCTGCTTACATTTAGGCCTCAAAACAAGTGTCCAGGCTTTCAAAAGACATCAAAATGGTACCTGTTGGGGGCTGAGCCATTTTGAAAATCTGTCCACTTTATGTTGAGTCTAAATGAGAGATGGCCTCTATTAAAACCCAGTTCTGATTGTAGCTGCGATTTGAAAACCTGGTCTTGTGTTCTTTTGAATACTTGGTCCTAAATACTCAATTCAGGTTTTATTTTGGAAAGTACTTGGTACCCATCTTCTGCTAGTGTCCTAGTCTAGTTTTATTCTGCAAAGCATTCTAACCATCCACCACCCAAAGAACGCGCATGACTAGAGGACAAGAGAGCAGGCCTAATGATGAGAGGCTGAGAGACATGGGAATCTTTAGCTTAGAGAAGTGTAGGCTCGGGGAATTTGGTGGTTGCCTATAAGGGATGTTCATCAGGAGCAGGGAGAAAGTCTGTTCACCAGGACACCCCAAGGGAAGACAAGGTCTAATGGCATGGGCGACTGGTGCCTCCTGATCTGGTGGGGGGGCACCAGCAGCCAATCACCAACTGGGGGAAAGGGGGTCCCCCCAGTGGCCGATTGCCAGCCCCATAAGCACTGGCAGCAAAACTGGTAGTGCTGCCAACAGTTCTCACAAGGGGCACCAGCTGGCAGAGCTGACCCAAGCAGGGTGTGGGGCCCGGGGCAAATCAGCCCATGTGGGGCCCCATCCCTGCTCTGATCTCCCCGGATGCAAGAAAGCTGCCTTTGCCATTGGTGGCAGCAGCATCAGCAGCAGGGTGGGGGGCGGATAGCGAGCGGCTGGACATGGAGCTACCACTCCACCCAGGTCTGCCCCACTGCTGCTGCATCCAGCTCTGCAGGGCCCCCCAAAGCACGGGGCCCAGGGCAGCTGCCCCAATTCATCCCCCCTAGGGACAGCCCTGCCAGCCGGTGCTCCCCACTCCCTGGCTGGTGAGGGCCAGTCTCAGGGGGGCACATGCTCCCCCATATGCATCGTGTATGTCTAATGGTCACAAACTCCAGGAAGACTATTTTAGGCTGGACATAAGAATTTTTTTTTTTTTTTTTTTAAATACACACACTGCTTGTGTTGCCAGAGCCTGGAATAGACTCCTACCAGATGTGGTGCAAGCACCTATTCCAGACACTTTCAAGAAACACTTGGATGGCTATCTTGCTGGGATCATTTCACCCCAGCTGACTTCCTGCCCTTTGGGCAGGGAGCTGGACCTGATGATCTTGCAAGGTTCCTTCTAGCCCTGATGTCTATGAAATCTATTAAACTGTTTTCTTAGATTCAATCTATAACACAGTTTATTCATGCTGCAATTTGCAGTTCACTAAAATGCTTCAAAATAGATGTTTCCTAATAGGAGGCCAGAAAGAAAAAAAAAAAACCCAAAAAACCACACACACACACACACACACACACAGTTTTTAAATTAAAACTTCGTTAAAGATGACTGAATAGCTACCCAGCTACATCTTTTGGGGAATAACAGGCAAGATGACTTTAGGCAATTGAAGTCTCTCTTGTTGATTGGTCTTTGAATCAGGCCTAAAATTCAGTTAGGACAAGGATGTTGCAATCTTATATAAAAAGTCTATATTTACTCTGGGGTAAATTGGACAAGAAGGCCTGTGTGTGAAGTGAAATGAAATCACATGAGGGAACAGAGGCCTAACCAGCAATTTCAGCACCCTGGGCAGAAATACTGCCCTGTTGAGTGCTGGAGAGCTGGGATGTGGAACGCTGAGAGGTGCTGCTGGTGCCCCCTTCTTCTGCCCTAGTTATGCAAGTGTGTGCGAAGGCTTCGTAATGACAGGCTTGTCATTTACTAGCTTATCCCAATTTAGCTGATGTTGAGATAATCTGGCACTGGAGTTATTGACAATTAGGCCATCAATTTATGATAATCTTTATCGACATTTTAAATTTTCAAAGCAAATTAATTTCACAGCTGCAGATCTACTAGTCTTAGGAAAGAGGAAGTACATGGAACATTTCAAATTCTAAATGCAACCTAATTTTGAACATTAGGTCTTCTATCAGGATGTAGAAAACCCCTGAGTTTCTCTCTATATTTTTAAATAAAAACAAAAACAAACAAAACACTCCCTCCCCTTCCCCTAACCATTTCTGACTCTCTCTATCCCTTATAAAAAAGTGATTACAAGTAGTACTAGGTAAACTAAGTTCTTGTATGCCATTATTGTAATAAGCCCCCTTTTATATTGTAAATAGTGTTCCGTTATGTTTGTATTGATTTTTACTGTTTTATATTGTATTATATTGAATTCCTATTATTTTTTGCATTGATTTTTATTGTTTCATGTTAATACTGTATGGTTTAGGCCGGTGTCTGTAAAGTAATGTCAAGCCTCCATCTTGTGTTCTCTGCCCGAGTGTAACCTATGACTCATGCCTAACCAGTCTCATGTAAATTGGTTCCTGAATGAATGGGGATGAATGAGGGTGCTTGAGATACAATGGTAGCAGGCCTCTACTGAATAATCAACTCATCGACTGGACCATCAGCTCAATGACTAGACCATTGCCTTCCATCGACTTCCCCAGGAACCATGGACCCAGCATTTGAAAGACAAAGACCCTACAAAGATCAGCCAACCCATTATTGCAACACAGACACCTGGAACTGCACATCATTGCCTGAAGTGTGCATGCTCAGTACACCAGGGCTACCCTTGCCTGGGCATGCCCCTGCTACTAGGGTCACACAAGGTCTGCCCCTATGAGGTAGTGAATACAGACCTAGTGGGACGCCCTCTCCATCTGGACCAACACTATGCCCCACCACCTATCCACCCAGAGGCCCTGCCGGTGACCCCCTCTGGACAACACCTTGCTGGAGAAGACCCCAACTGGCCATTGAGTATCAACTTATAGCCCAGGCTAGGTAGCTATCACCCACCTTCCTTCCCCAAGCAAAGGACCTGGACTGTCCCTACACACCTCAACTTCAATCCCTCCATCAAGCCTCTCTCTCTCCTGTTACCATTGTGTGTGTAGGAACCAATAACTTCATGGGGCTGTGTAGTGTGTTGTCTGTTTAATAAGCATGTTATTTTGAAACCCTGTAACAGGTATCCGCTCTGGGCCAATCTAAATGTGGCCCATGCACCTGTTCCTGGAGCAACCGCCCACCTTCTCTCCTGCCACACCTTGCTGTTAATTGATGTTAATTAGCAGGAGGCTGCCCTTGTACTGCCCGATGCCAGGGGGCACTATTTGCAGTTCCGTTTCCTCCCCTACACCACAGTCTATGCCTCACCAATGGAATAGACATTGTTATGTCCTAGCCTTATGCTAATTTGGCCCCTTGTCTTCTCTGGGCTCTACCTCTCTTGATCTGTGCCCTCTCCAGTGCTAGGGCTCTCCCCAACCCTCTCTCACTATGTGCCCCCTTCTCAGGACCTTCTCCACAATGCTGCCCCTTCTTGGGGTTCCTCAAGCACTGCCCCCTTCTCCAGGCCCTGCTCAGTAACACTGCCTTCTCTCCAGGGCTCACCATATCCACACTGGAGCTTCTCAGCAATGCCCCCTTTCTGGGGCTTCTCAACTGCCCCTCTCTGGGCTGGGTTCAATGCAACCCAAACACTGTGCCCTCACTGGCACTGGGGTACCCATACTGCTGTGGGTCCCCTATGAGGCTTCCTCCAACCCCTAATAGCCTCACCCAAACCACTGGTCACAAACATAAGCCCCTTGGCTATAACAAAAAAATGGAAGCCACCCAGCCATAACAACAATCCAGCCTACCAGGGAATACTCCATCCCTCAGCCATGTCAGACACTGCAACTTCAGTCAGACTGCTCCTCTCTTCCATGAGAGACAGCTCCTTCCTCCTTGGCTACTGGTAAGGAATCACCTCTGGCCCCAGCCGCTAGGGTTTATAAGGGAGCCAGGCCCTGCCCCTTCTGGTCAGCTGACCTCCTCTGGTTGCCCTGGCAACCAACAGCTGGGCTCCTTATTCCCTGCTAGGGCTTCCTCCCTAGCAGTTTCCCCTCTTTAGGAGCAGGGCACCTCAGTGCTCTGTGACAAACCCCAAGTTGGGTTTTTGTCTTGTTGACCTCCCGATTCTCCTCCTTGATTTCCCAGCTATCTCCCAGCTTTCTGCCTCTCTGTTTCCAGGTCCAATCTCCTAGCTTTCTGCCTCTCTCTTTCCTGGCTGTTTCCTCCTTGCCACCGGGCTTTTCCCCTTGTTTCCATCCTGGCACCAGATGACCCCGAGTAACCCCGGGGCACATTAACCCTAAGTAACTCCAAGCCCCAGTGACCTCGAGTAACCCTGGGGCTGCTTGACCTCCCCTCCAGTCCACTGGTTCTAATCCTAGCCCTGGCACTTTCACTCTCTTATTTTTCCCTCTCTCATCTTAACTCCCATCCATCTCCCTCCTTCTCTTCCTGGAAATCTTTGATTTCCCCTCCCATAGTCACTAAGCACCCTAGGTACCCCAAGTACCCCATGCACACATATACCACACCACTCAAGTTAGGAACTTACCTGTGTGTATGTGCTTGAATTGGTGATAGGTGTGCATGTGCTTAGACTGGTAATCTTGGATATGCATGTGTGCCTAGTGTGTGTGTATGTGCCTAGTGTGTGTATGTGCGCATGCCTAGTGTGTGTGTATGCACCTAGTGATTTTTGTGTGTATATATATGCAATTGTGTCATACCCTCCCATCTAACAGCACAATTTTGAGGTCCTGAGAGTTGGCCTGGCCCCTACAGGACAAGGAAAGGGCTTTTTTAAAAGTTACATACATGCTAAATCACCATTGCTGTGATTTACACAAAACTTACATAATGTCATTAAAACATAAGATTTCTTTATGTCTGAGACTAATCAAGAAAAATATTATGACCAAAGATTTTTTTTGTAGCCATTACAGGTCTAGAAAAGACCAAAAATGTTTGCAAAGCCAATCTCTAGGGAGTTCCTCATATAACAGCATAATGGCTCTATGCCATTCTTAATTGCCCTGGTTCAGGGTCTACCTGGGGAAGAAAGTACATGATCAAAATGTCACTACTCTCTGGCTACTTTTGGTGCTAGGGACAGAAATTACACATAAACCAGTAAACACAATCAGAAACTGGTTCATATCTGTATCACAACAGTGATACAGTGCACATAAACTGCTTTCAAAATGACTGAAACCAGTTTAAGATAAACCTGGATAGAATCATAGGGCTGGAAGGGACCCCGAAGGATCATTGGGTCCAGCCCCCTGCATAAGCAGGAAAGACATCTGGGGTTAGGTGACCCCACCCAGGTCACCATCCAGTCTTCTCTTAAAGACCTCTAGGGTAGATCATTGCACCACCTCTGTGAGGAGCTTGTTCCATAGTCTGGACATCCGAGTTGTGATGAAGTTTTTCCTAATGTTTAGCCTGAAACTATCTTCCAGGAGTTTGTGGCCGTTGTTTCTAGTTTTCCCCCAGGGCACCCTGGTGAAGAGTTGTTCACTGAGCCCCTGATGTATGTCTCTGATATAGCGGGAAGCTGCAATCAGGTCCCCTCTCAGCCTTCTTTTCTTTAGGCTGAAGAGTCTGAGATCCCTCAGCCTCTCCTCACATGGCTTGCCATGCAAGTCCCTGATCATGTGGGTGGCCCTTCTCTGGACCCTCTCGAGCTTTAGCATGTCCTTGTTGAAGTGCAGCACCCAGAACTGAACGCAATACTCCAGCTGTGGCTGCACCAATGTTGAGTAAAGCGGGAGAATCACTTCTTTGGATTTACTGGAGATGCATCGATTGATGTATGCCAGAGTTTTATTGGCCCTAGCAGCTACTGTGTTGCATTGCCAGCTCATATTCATGCCGGAGTCTATTGTTACCCCCAGATCCCTTTCATATGTAGTGTTGGTCAGGTTAGTGATGCCCAGCCTGTAGGTGTACTGGGGGTTCTTCTTTCCCAGATGCAGCACTTTTCATTTCTCTCTGTTGAACCTCATCTGTTTCCATTCTGCCCAACATGCCAGCCTGTCTAGGCTGCAGATACAAGCAGACCTATCTGTGGGCATGTCTGTACAGCCCCATATCTTGGTGTCATTCACAAACTTGGCCAATGGGCTTTTCATCCCCTCATCCAGGTTGTTGATGAAGATATTGAACAGCACTGGGCCAAGTACCAACCCCTGGGGTATGCCGCTGCCCACATTTCACCAGGATGACACCAATCCATTCATTTAGATTCTCTGTGTCCTACCCTACAACCAGTTTTGCACCCACTTGACAGTCCCGCAGTTGAGCCCGATATCTTCCAATTTTCTGATCAGTACCTTGTGGGATATCAGGTCAAAGGCTTTCTGGAAGTCGAGGTAATGTACCAGAAAGCCCCCTTTTCCTCTTGCCTGCATTTTCTCTCCCCTCTTTGGATATGTTTCTCTTTTTCTACCTTTTCTTCCTTCCTCTCTCTTTCACTTTAAGATAAGGAATTGTGTTTTAAAAATTTGTATGTGTGCATTTTGTATTTCCCCTTTTATTTTGGTATTTTTATCTATTTGTGTGCCATGGCATTTGTAGCTTATATTTTATACTCCTCACCTTTCAACTGAATGTATTTAGTTTCATAAGTAAGTTATACATTGTAACAATGTTAACAAGGGCAGGAATCAAACTGCCCTTCCCTGTATCAGACTGGCCCCTGAAAGAGTGAGTGAATCAGTGATTGAATGTGTAACACACTGTAGCAGCAGGCGGCAATTAACACCTGGGAAGCTGCAGATATTCGACCACTCCCAGAGCCCTATTCAAAATTCATCAACGGACTCCCAAACCTGCACGTATATGCGTATGACCCCTGGGGCTGACAGATGCCGTCCAGTAGCCACCGAGGGGGGGGAAGTCCCACAAGGGTCAATGACCCCTGGATTGGGCAAACCTGAAAACTGGGGAGTCACCAAAGTCTGCCAAGGACAGATAAAAGGCAGTGAAAAGTGACCCTCAGGGGCGCCCTCTTGATCTCCAACTCGACCAGACCTGTCCAGCCAGAAGGACCAGCCGGCGACCCCCTTCTGGAAGATAACACCACGCTGAAAGAAGCCTCAACGACAGACTCCAGCACTTGTAGGATAGGTATACCTGACTCTGTAGCCTGCTACAGTGTGTGTGTATGTGTGTGCATGCATGTGTGTGTGTGTGTGTGGGGACCAGCCCCAAGGTTTATGATTACAGTGTTTCAATCTGCCTAATAAACTAGAATTTTAAGGATCCCGAGTTGGACATTTGTAGCCAACAGTATATGATGTCAACCACTTTTCTCTCATCTAGGTGATGAGTCACCTGATCATAGAAAGAAATGAGGTTGGTCAGACAAGACCTGCCTGCAACAAAGCCATGCTGGCTGTCATTCAGTATCATGCCTTCTGCAAGTTTGTCACATATATAGCCTCTTTGATGAATGTTTCTAGGATTTTCCCTGGAATAGAAGTTAAGCTAATTGACCTGTAGTTTCCCAGGTCTTCACGCTTCCCCTTCTTGAAGATGGGCACAACATTGGCCCTCTTCCAGTCCTCTGGGATTTCTCCAGAGGACCATGATTTTTTGAAAGAACTTTGCCAGGGGCTCTGCGATTACTTCGGCCAACTCTTGCAGCATTCTTGGGTGGAGTTCATTCGGTCCTGCTGATTTATATACGTCTAATTTCTTTAAATGATACTACACCTATGGCAATAGTGGGAATGGTGCCAATCCCGCCCTGCTCGTTCTGTGCCCTACCTGGCATGTTGTTCCCCTTGGTCTTGTGAAAGACTGTGGCACAGTAGTCATTTAGGAGTTCCATTTTTTCCTGAGTGGTAGTGACCAGGTATGCTGAGGCATTGAGCAGCGGCCCCACACTCCCATTAGTTTTCCTTTTATTCCCTATGTAGCTAAAGAAGGACTTCTTGCTGTCCTTGATTCTTGTAGCTAGTTTTAGTTTGGTTTCTGACTTAGCTTGCCTGATCTGGTTCCTACAAGTGTGGGTCATGGTCAAGTAGTTTTCCTTAGAGGCTGTCCTAAACTCCCATTGTTTGTAAGCCTCTTTCTGTTTCTGTAGGAGGGCTGCAATTTCCCTGCTTAGCCAAGAGGGTTTTTTGACCCTTATTCTACTTTTTCCATGTAAGGGAATGGATTTTAGACATAGTATCAGACCTAACTGATTTAGGTTAAATCAGTTTATTGAACTTCTGTGCCAGCTCCCTTCCAGATTCAAGTTAACTCACATTCCCCCAACATCCCAGGATGCATTGTACCTCTCCCACAACTCCCCCCCCTCCACACACCTTTTACAGGGTCAGTGGGCTATCCTTGGCCCAAGCTGTCTGCTCCAGCTGAGCAGGGAGGTGTGCTCTAGCACTCCCTGGCATCTGGCCTAGGCCACTGCAAGCGTGTGGCTGTATTTCTGGAATCAAACATGAATGTCTGTTCACTTACTTATTAGTTCAATTTATGCAGCTTAGAATAACTTGCAAAGATTTAATCAATTCAGCCTCAGGCTTTTTGACTGTCTGTACTTAGTCTGGGCTCTTAGAAAACTTTCTATAGCCACGGGCAGCCAGAAACAAAATTTGTGTAATTCTTAGACTGTGTCAAGTGGAGCTTGGGGCACATCAGATATTACTGTCATTTTGTCTAGCTGAATAATATTTTGGAAATCATTAATTATTTTTATTATGTAAGATTACAGGGATCTGTAAAATCACTGCACCAAACTGATAAGAGGGTGCAGACAGGCAATGGGAATGTACAACAGGTGACTCAACAGGTTTCCATTTCAAATCAAACCAAATCAGAAGCAACTGAAAGTTAGTAGTATCTGATAACTGTTTGATGGCCTACATACCAT